AGACTGGATTCAGAGATGAACATACTGAACTGATACGCTCATTGATCATTAAGCAGTGACCAATGTCATATTTGCCTGGTCCTTGAGTTCTATCAAGTGTGTTCCAATTGGGTCAATGATTTAAGTAACTTAACAACGTTTACATTATGTTTAAATTTTAGGTGGTTCATAATAATCAACTGAAGATCAGTCGCATTTCGTACAACTAAGCAGTGACGTTACTAACTTTTACACTAAGTGATGTGAGTTAGACTTATATATTATAAGTCATCTCCTCCTAGCTTGTACATACACCTTGCCGGTGAGTAATAACTAGCACAAAACATAGATTCAGCGTTTCCGGTCGACTGTCTCCAGTGGCCTAGGAACTATGAATGTGTAATTACATACAATTTAACAAATAACACCCCAATTTACGTTCACTGTATTGTTTCTAACACATTAACCCAACTAGTCACTTCATTGGTCGATCAAAGTATCAATATGTGGCCGAACTAGCTGAAAATCAATTGTATGGCTTATTAAATCCCATACTTGCCAATCATGACTAAGTCTAACAATTGTCCATACTCCATTAAAAACTTTAATAAGATTAAAATATAAACAATCAGTCCCCATAATGATGACATTAGAATCTAGTAGTTAGGTGATTAGATTTTTCTCAAGTCAGTCTATTCATTGTTGAAAACGTACTTCAGTCTTATCGCTTCTTTTTTCTCAACAGTTATTCAGTTTACCATGAAGTTACGATTGATTAGAGAGACAATAAATTGATCATTAAATTAAATCCCAACTCAAAGGATTTTAGAATAGTGCAGGTATCTCCAGCTGACGTGTCCCAAATAGAGCAAGACGCGCATCCTGGATTCCACTGCTAGCCACCACCTATCTTTGCTTATAAAATAATTCTGTTTAGATATTTACCCGATAGACATTCTATTTCTGGACATTTACAATAACTAAATGGCTTTACACTAATTCAATTAGTGTTTCACCAATGACTAGCTCATTTTTTAAAGCTTTTTATTACAAACTTCAGTTACAGTTACCATATATTGTTTTTACCTCAATGCTTGCGTATTCCTAATGATTACTGATCTTTTTTTCATTATAAAAGATAAGTACATTTGATATATAATTATTGAGTTGTCATCAACTTAAATTTTCTTTTGTTCTTTCCCTCCTAGTTCCTCATAAACACAATTCACTATCTACTGTCAACCCTCCTATCCAGTACATAGCACATCTTCAAGCTAAAGTTGAGTCTACCAACAATTTGACATTACAATGTAAATGATTATATATGGTACTCGACATATTCTCGATTACCAGGCTAACTACAAAATATGTGCTGATCATCATTATGTGTATAAATACTTACATATGTAGTTATGATCATCATCATCATCACCATCATCATCATCATATGAACCGATAGTATTTTGTTAGAATTCGATATAATCATGTGACTACAAAGTATACTAGACATGTTGAATATTCAAGATGATTGTGTTTGTACATGATTCAGATTAATTAGACAAATTGGTATATTCAGATAGAAGGTTAAAAAGTCATTTATTTTAAATAATTTGCTATCTACATTCGATCAATAATCTTCTATTTAGTTGTCAAGATTATAGTTAGATAATGGAATGCTTAAAAAAATGATGAGTGTAAAACATGACAAATGAGATTATAGGTATCAAGAAATTTCAATGAATAGTTTTTAAATGATTTTACCATCATAAAATATTATCTCGAGAACCATTGAAGAAGCCTGTTAAAATATTGGATGAATGTTACCCACTAGAATATAATATTTTTGAGCAGTGTAAACAAAAGACTCTTCTAGATATTTTGAGGTGAGCCCGTCACTTTCAAACCACTAAATCTAGCTTCCATATATCATAACTTCGAGCCTTAATAGGGTTATTTTTATTTTTTACCATACTCTAATCAAATTGATTGATATGGTGAAAGATTAGGAAACAACTATTTCAGGCAAATTGTCTATTGAATCGTCATAAACAAATCAAACTATAAGGTTAAGATTGTAGCCGTGGACGGATACAACTGCACCTAATGTACGGCTGATTATTTCAAAATTGATTCCGTAGACAAAATAATGCCATACGTCGTAAATATTTTTTGTTTTCTCTATCATCTCCATGTTGGATAATCCTTTGAGTAAAATGTTCTATGCGTATACTATGAGCACATATCCTGTAAGTTGGTGATGAGTAGGATCATCTTCGAAACTAAAAATAGGATCTAGATATCAGAACACTTTGTTTTACATGATGGATCACTGGTTTGCATTTATGATTGATTCAGACTCACAAGTACAATAGCAAAGTACAGCAATAGACGACCTTGATCGACCATTCGGCCAATCAAAGAGTAATATTTAGTTACAAGAATTTATAGAAAAGCTAATAAGATTACAGGGAATATAGAGTTTTGGCATGAATTGAGAACCCTGTCATGTGGATTGTTCCTTGTAGTACGGAAAAAGGGTGAGAATTATGTGTTGATGTCAGGGATTACGTTCAGGTTTTCATCACGATCCGTATCACTATGGTGCGAGGGTTAGTGTTGTAAGGCTTGCCTACAAAGCATTATTGTTTTTGTAGACATACGGATAAATAAATGTCAAGATTATATTCATAAGGCCCCATATTAAGTCTGATTGGTTCGTCTATAAAATAGTGTCACCTTAGGAACTTCCAGGTTATTTTGAAGTTTACAAGTCCCGTCAATATGTTACATATTTAAGATCAATTTGTTTTCTACTATATTCCTCTGAAATACTGATAAATTCTCCACCATCATAAGGATCACTCATATTCATTCCTAGTCTTTAGACTTCTAATATATGTCAATTTCCAGCGTTTAAGTAGCGAAGCATCAGTAAGTTCCACTGGGCTTTTACATACTTCCTAATTAGTTTCCAGCTATCTGTTATTCTGTTTTGGTTTTCGAGCTAAGAACCTAAAGTCTGACTACTTCATCTAGGTACATTATATCTACCAAAACTATCAGTCAGACACTGTTCTTGCTTTACCGAGTTGGTTTTCTGATTTCCCGTTTTTATTTTAAAATAAAATTGTTGAATTGAAGAAGGTCCGGTGAGGCTTTACTTTATGGACGATCCTTAAGTGATGCTAAAGCGATCTTGAAAAGGTTCAACTACTCATTAGAGTCAACAGAGGGTTATGAGTTATTGTGGGGGATAAGGATTCGGAACGACAGTTAGAAGATAAGGTTTGGGGATGTAGTGTGGTGTGTGCTCCTTATATTGATATAAGTATTGTATGATGTTAGTCGTTAACAGAAGGTCTGGCAGCAGAGATACAAGAGGATCGAACAATAAAGAATGGAAACAGAATGCAATTTGTATGAAAATGCAAGAACAATGAAGTCTGAGTCATTTTGAGACAATTGATGGACATTTTGCAAATTAAGCATTTACTTTATGATTGTTAGATTTTATGAACAAGTCCTGTAATTTTGTGTTAAATACATTCGATTGTCCCCACCCGTGTTCTGTTCACTACAGTAGTAAGGGTTTTCATCACGAATTGAAATTAACTATGATGCCGAAATGCTATTTTGCCCTATGAATGAACGAATTTAACTCCAGTTCAAGATGTGATATCTTTGATTTTACTGGTTCGTTCAGAAATCATATTCTCTCCGAGGGTTCTTCGAAAAGGACCTATTTACATTTGAAGATATCAATAAAGAAAACCAGAAGAAATTGAAGAATTATTTAAACGTAGTTGAAAATTACATACTAATATTCTGTCCTGAAATTGAATTAAAGACATACGAAACTTTCTTATAAAGACACTACCAATAAGCAGTTAAATAGGAACTTGAACTGTTTAAATATAGTTCTTGCTATGATTTTTTCGAAAGAACATTCTCCTTTACTAAAGAAATTACTAGTATGTATCAGCTGATCGTTGAATAAATGAATATGGCTTCTAATAACTGTCTAACTCCAAAAGTTAAACTCCACTGGTTACCGATTCTCAGTTGTATTGCAGGGATAGGGTCTTTAAACTAGACCCTAGTGAATACGTGATCATTATTATCATGGAATTTTAGAAAATTATAGGATTTCCATACTTTAGGTTAGCAATTGATCTTTGCTAGACCACCACTGAAAACCAGTGAGCATTGGAAAGCTGTTTCATTTTATTGAGGATTTCAGTACTATGACGAAATAACTGTCTAATGCTATCATGTTTTTAGTGATGATCCGAATAAGATTGATTCGTGACCTAAAAAACTTCAGTGTATGAATATATATCCTTGTTATTCATCCAATTAATTTTATCAGAAGAAGTTTGTGGAGATTTTTTAGAAATTTTCGCAGATTGAAATCATGAGTCAGTTGAAGCTAGACCACCATTGAAAACCTGGAAGCACTGGACGGCCGTTTCGTCCTAGCATGGGACTCCTCAGCAGTGCGCATCCACGATCCCGTTAATGTGGAAAATTTCTAATTAGACAATTAACACTTTGAAGATAACTTTTATTATCAACTGACATCAGTTATGGATTTGTAGAAAATTAAATACCAACCAACAGGTATTCCACACAAAATCAAATCCAATTTCTTTAGGTGTAATCCAGAGAAAACAAAACTATTCAGTCAATTATTCAAATTTCAATGATGTACATTTTCAAATTTAGTACCATATTCATTGACAAGTGTAGTCAATACACTGTAAGCTTCAATTATTTCGTACTTCATGGTTTTCCCATTACAACTTTAAGTGATCCCCCTCATACTAAACACTAATAAATATAGATGGTTATACAATTTGTAGATAATTCTTACCATCAATCGAAGTCATCTAAGGTGACACTGAAAACGTTTTTAAAATTGTATTTTATTCAAAAAGCATTTTCTTACAGATTATCACTAGGTGAATAATATTTATTCATGTTATATCATAAATAAACAAACATTATATTTATCAACTTACCTGAACTATAGTTTTACATGATGCTTGTAGATGTGGTGGACATTCTTTAGGTCGTTCTCGTGAATCAGTAATACTATTACATGCATTATCATTATGTGAATTACATTGATAACATTTAAGTGATATGACATAATTGGTAGTGTATAGAAGCAAAATAAACTGAATGACAATTGTACTGAACACTTGCATATTTGTATACAAATTTAATGTTTTGTTCTTTTTTGTTTAGTATTTTATAATTTGTAGAACTATTTTATTTCCAGAATGAAGTATTCAACAGTATGAGCTCTGTTACTTATTTTCTCTAGATCTCTTTCTCTTTTTGTCTCTGTATAATACTGATTAGTTAAAAAAAATCAGGATATGTATCAGTGATATTTGATAAGGCAACTACAATACAATAAATTGTGAAAATGTTTGATACAAAATGTATAACGTGATCAATAAACAAACCTAGATACAACTAAATTATATTTCACAATCATATACAGAATGAGAATTCAAATGGAAGGGGTGTTAATTGATTGATAATTTAATAGAAAGAGTTGACTTCCGGTATTCACTATCGTCAAGGTTGTATTTTGTGTGAATGAAAAGTTTAATCCAAATATATGCATACAAAAAATAATGAAACAAGTCACATATATAAATACACACACACACATACATGTACATGGTCAACAAAATATCAAATGTTCAAAACGAATATTTTACATAATGACCTTGTAGTTTAGATAGATTTTTTTATGTCAGTGTAAAACGTCTATGAATGATATCTGTTTTAATGAGTTAATAAGAATTTATAACTAATATTTTGTAATTCGAATGAAGGTTTATGAAGATCGCAGTAATTTTAATAGTTGAATTCCAATAATTATCATCATGTACTCGCTAGTGACTGATTTCAAGATGGTTTTCCTGAGAAACATTGACCAGTGGAGTCCAGTCCGTGTTGGATAGAGATAGGTATCTACCTCAGATAATGGATGAATGGTTGCACAAGATCATGGATCAATTGAAGTTAAACATTAATACCGTTGGATACTGGTTCAGTGGTCTAGAGGTTAAGAGTTCGCGCGCGAAACCGAAATTCCTGGTTTAAAGTCCTACATGCAGGATCGTGGATGTGCACTACTGAGTAATCCCATACTAGGATTAAACGGCTGTACAGTGATTCCACGTTTTCAATGGTGGTCTAGCTTAAGTGGACTCATGAATTCAACTATTAATATTTTGTAACAGTATCAAGTTTTCAAATTTTGCAAGGTAATTGAAATCAGTCTTAGTGAAAGATTTGATGAATGATTAATGAAAATTACGTACAATGCTAACAAGAATCAATTTTTGATTAACTAACTAAAAAGCCATTTGTCATTTGAACTATAATTTCTAAAAAGAAATAAGCTAGAACAATTCATTAGTTGAATTTTGATTAACTTTATAAGTAGTTTAATATTTTTAATTAGTATTAACAGTACACTTAGTGTTCTTTTACGAAGTTATTCATTTAGATTTTAATCAGTGTTCATGTGAGTGTATTGGTACTAGCAGTGTTTATACTGAACATAGCATAAGATACAAACGGAAATACCATAGGAGTTATCATACTCCTATTCGTAACTATGATTTTTAAAGGACCAAGAGAAGAATACATTGGAATTGGTCATACAATGCTGAAATAATCAAAAACATTCATTGTTGAAGATGGATGACATAATGTGGTGTTTGTATGAACTAATAATTCTCTTATACTTGATGATTGCCTGATTTTGAATTCTAAATACAATACGTTCGTTTGTGATCACCTAGTTCTGTTTGTTTTAAACTGCGCTATTTCAGGGATTCCTAGTTCGTATAATAATCTAAATACTTCTAATCAACACACACAAACAATGCTGTATAAAAATACTGTGTATTTTGTGCAGAGAATCCTTTATTGTTACCAGAACTGTAGTCTTGAATAAAGTAACTATTACTTTTAAGGTGCTTCTTGTGGAAAATTATGATCTTTCTTAAGTTGAAATATGAGGAACTACTACAACCATCATCGAAAATGTACAGGTATTTACAAACAGTTGTCTACGCAAGATACCCCAGATTCGTTTACCAGATACCATCAGCAACAACCTTTTGTGGCGGAGAACAAATCAACTTCTAGCTGAAGAGGAAGTTAGGAAAGGACTAGAGAGGTGGGTAAAACGCACGTATAATGAACATAAAGTTGAAGTATTAACTAATTATTCATTGGTTAAATTTGAGCATTTTTTAATATATTACATATAATATGAATAATTATCACTAAATGTAAACCTAATCGAAATAATGTGTCTTTTCAAACAGCTAAAACCTACGACGTGAAATTATTTGTTATCAGATAATGAAGTGAATTCCAAGAATGACTTGTGCCTACTCACTATGTGTGTACAGTTTAGTTGAATGTTGAAAACACAATTGTTTGACAATATCTACGATACTATCCATGTAGAAACAGTTATTTTTTGATGGAATTTTGTTCTCTGAGCTGGATGGTTTGGTTGTGGAACTTTCATCGTTATTCTCAACGACATTAGCACAAACTTCAGGTAGAAGTGAAGTGTTTGAATTACTCCACATATGGTTCTCCACCATCTCAAACAATTGTGTTAAATATATTCAAAATACCTGAACAAACCTTTACAGTTAAACGAAAAAACAAGTTCCTAAGAGCTTTCGTAAACAAAATCTAATAATTAGAAATAGTTGTTATCCGAAGAGATTTTGTGGAGATTTTAGAAATTTCACTGATTGAAATCATGAGTCAATTGAAGCTAGACCACCATGGAAAACCTGGAAGCACTGGACTGTCGACCTAAATTAAGTCAAATGAAATATGAAACAAGGAAGTAAACATTAGGATGGAATAAAAGTAGGATACGGAAACCAAAATTATTAATAAACAAGAGTGAAAAAAATTTAATTTCAACTGAAATCAGAATGAACTTTATGATTGTGAAAATCAAGAGTGAGACCTAACCAAAAGGTCAATGTCTTGTAAAATCACCGTGGAAGGATTTGTTGAGCACAAAATGTACGACAAGTAATGATCCAATACTTTGGACCAAAGCATTCAATCGTCACAGTAAAATTCAAAACAACTGGAAGATATCTTGGATTGGGGAAAGTTAGACAATAACACCATTGGGTAGCAGCTCAGTGAACTTAAGGTTAAGGGTTTGCACGCGAGACTGAAGGTCTTGGGTTCAAATCCCACATGCGGGGTCGTTGATGCGCATTCCTGAGGGGTTCCGTACTAGGACGTAACGGCCATTTAGTACTTTCAGGTTTTCGATAGTGGTCTAACATGGATCTGTTCATTATTTCCATAAAATTCAACACTAATATGTTTAATTGTTTTGGATTGAAAGGGAACGAGTATCTTGTGGAGGTCGGTATTCAATATAATCCTTAAACTTCATATATAGTTCGCCTTGATAACTGTCACTAGATAATACCGCAGCGGTGTGTTAAACAGATGGTGAATACGAAGTGTTGATTAAGTTTATTATTGCACCACGCATAGATAACCAAATTTACAGGTACGTTAAGCAAACATGAAAGAGTAGTACTGAAAAGTAACCAGGCTAGCGAGTGAGCCAATGAACAGGATTAGAATGTATATATATAGTGAATGAATGAATTATCGAATCAATTAAGCGACTAATAGTAAGGCTAGCAGAATAAATATATGCGTGGGCAGTAAGCAATGCTCAAGCATACATATTCATACAAGTGCAACAATAATAAAGCTACAATGATATAAGATGATAAGTTGTTAATGTACGGATGACTGACAATTAAATAAGTTCACAAAATGGCTTATCGAAATTCAATGTGAACAAACTCAAATATATATGAGCTGCTATAAACTATCTCATCTTTTTGAAACAGCTCCGACCCACCAATTTCATAGACATCATGAATCCCACTGAATTCATAGGGTCTATTTGTTAATGAATGATAATAATTATAAAGTCAATGTAGCAGATATACCGATATTTTATTTTATATATATTGAATATTATTTTCGTTGGGTACTTTCCTCACACTAGACACAGTTGAATTCCGATGACCACGGCTTTTCATTAGAACTATTGAAATTTCTTCTCGAAGTTAGCTAGTGGAGAAAACATGGTAATGGGGGTTGTGGAGATTATATATATGCACTAGACAGCTGTTTTGTCCTAGTATGGGACTTCTCAACAATGGACATATATGACCTTGCCACAACAGTATAACTTTGAGAGGAAATTCCCGGCGTTCTAATGGGAATCAATGATAAGTGAAATTCATCAGTGTCGATTGTAATGGATGTTAGTTTATTATTTATCATAAGTTAGCATTTATTAGAATGACATACTTTTATCCATTGAACTGACAAGTCAGTTTTGTCTTACTTTAACTTTTGCTAATCGTTTATTACAACATCGACCTGGAATAGTTTTACTGGTAGATCCTCATAGAATAAGAACGTAAATTCAACATCACATTAAAAGTTATTTCGCATCAATTTGTAATATTTTGAGCGTATTGAGTATCAAATATTGTAATGAATAATAAACATTTATTTTTTGTTATATCCCAATAAGTAGAAAAATTGTATCCACAATTGATTGATCACTGGGTGGTGATCAATGTCATGTGTATCAGTCCTTATTTAGTGCAGATCGAATCCTATCGACCATGTTGCGATGTGGTCACCAGTCTAGGTGACTCGACACTGTGTGCACTATATATTGAGATTAGATCGCGGCACGGATAGCTCAGTGGTAACGTCTCAGACTGTGAAGCTGGGTGACACGAGATCGAATTTGCCAGGGAGCACCAGTTCCCTCAAGATTACAGGTACACCTTGCTGACGAGTGCCAAGTAACACGAAACCCGGGTCCAGGGTTTCCTGTTGACTACCTCCAACCACCATCTAATCTCAAGAAAAATTGTATTTTTGACGTAACGTGACTTAATGTAAGCTAATTCTTGAGAGTAAGTAAATGGTACTTGGGATATGACAGAAAACACATTTATTATTAACCCAATTAATAATGAGTTTGTAAGTATCATTACCAAGGTTTGACTTGATAATTTCAGAACAATTGAGTAGAAATTAATAAAAACAATATATTTGTAGTATCCTGATATTCAATTTGTTTGAAACTATCAAGTCCAATCTTGTCATTGATGCCTATCGTAATTAATAAATAAAAATTGCTTGTAGATCTGTGAGTAGTTACTTTCTAACCTATATTTATTCAATAGTTGAGATCATGAGTCAATTAAAGCTAAATCACTATGGAAAACCTGGAAGCACTAGACGGCCGTTTCGTTCTATTGTGGGACTCCATAACAGTGCGCATTCACGATCTCACCTCACGAGATTCAAACTCTTCTTCTTTTCTTCTTCGTTTGTTACTCCTAATGGAGCATAGGCCGCCGACCAACATTCTCCAACCCACTCTATCCTAGGCCTTTCTTTCTAGTTCTATCCAATTTTTGCTCATTTTTCTCATGTCTATCTCCATTTCTCGGCGTAATGTATTCTTTGGTCTTCCTCTTTTCCTTTGGCCTTGAGGATTCCATGTGGGGGTTGTCTTGTGACGTAGTTGGATACTTTCCTCAATGTGTGTCTATGATGATTAGGAGTATTTGAATTATAGTATGAACTAAGAATCCCAGAATTAACGTAACCGGATCAAGAAGTACTAGATAAGCACGAACGAATGTTCTGTATTTGGAATTCGAAATCAAGCATTCAACAAGTACAAAGGAATCATTAGTTCATTCAAACACCACATTGTCCTATCCACTTCCAGCGCTTCTTCCTGATTTCTTCCTCCACTGGGATCTGGTTCGTTCTCTCCCACAGTAGTTTGTTGCTGATAGTGTCTGGACAACTGATCCGAAGTATTTTGCATAGACAACTGTTAATAAACACTTGTATTTTCTGGATGATGGCTTTCGTAGTTCTCCAGGTTTCTGCCCCATACAGTAGAACTGTCTTGACATTTGTATTGAAAATCCTGACCTTGGTGTTGGTTGACAGTTGTTTTGAGTTCCAGATGTTCTTCAGTTGTAAATATGCTGCTCTTGCTTTGCCGATCCGCTCCTTCACATCTGCATCAGATCCACCGTGTTCATCAATGATGCTGCCCAAATATGTAAAGGTTTTTACATCTTCCAAGTTGTCTCCGTCAATTTTGATTGGGTTGGTGCATGCTGTGTTGTACCGGAGAATCTTGCTTTTCCTTTTGTGTATATTGAGACCTAATGTTGCTGAGGCTGCTGCTACACTGGTCGTCTTCTCTTGCATTTGTTGCTGCGTGTGCGATAGAAGAGCCAGATCATCTACGAAGTCTAGATCGTCCAATTGCATCCTAGATGTCCAGTATATCTCGGGTTTCCCTTCAGATGTTGACGTCTTCATGATCCAGTTGATCACAAGGAGAAAGAGAGAAAGGGTGAGAGTAAGCCACCCTGTCTAACATCGGTCTTTACTTCAAACGAGTCAATGAGCTGTCCTCCATGCATGGCTTTGCAGTTTAATCCACCATAGGAATTCTGTATAATATTGACTATCTTCTGAGGCACGCCATAGTGTCGAAGAAGTTTCCATGATGTTGTTCTGTCCACGCTGTCAAATGCCTTTTCGTAGTCAATGAAGTTGATGTCGAGTGATGAATCCTATTCAATTGATTGTTCCATAATGATCCGTAGAGTTGCGACTCGGTTTGTACACGATCTATTCTCATGGAATCCTGCCTGTTGGTCTCGAAGTTGGGCGTCTACGGAGTCCACTCTGTTTAACAACACACTGTTGAAGACTTTTCCTAGTATTGAGAGAAGATTGATGCCTCTGTAGTACTCACACTTTCTGAGATCGCCTTTCTTTGATATATTGATCAGGTTTCCTTCTTTCCAGTCCGTTGGTACTTGTCCTTCATCCCAAATTTTGCTGAGGAGAATGTGGAGTATCTTCACAGTTACTTCTGTGTCTGCTCCCAGTGCTTCCTCTGGAATATTGTCTGGTCCTGCTGCTTCACCGCTCTTGATTTGTATTGATTGCTGCCTTCGTGTTCCTCCTTTCTTAAATCATATCCAGTGTATCAACAGTGATCCATTCCTTGTGACGTTGCTTCTTGTGACCCAGGATCTCATGACATGTTGAAGTGATTGCCTCTTTGATCCCCTTCCAGTTGCTCTCCACAGTAGTTCCTTCTCCATTAAGTAGATCATGAAAGGCCTGGAGCTTATTGCTGAGAACTATCTTGAATTTGTTGAGTTTGTGAGTATCCCGAAGAAAGGCCGTATTAAGCTTTTGTGATGTTGTTCGCCCCATTGTCCAGTAATTCTTAAGTTTCAATTTCATCTTGGCGACCAGCAAGTGATGATCTGATGCTACATCAGCTCCTCTCTTGGTTCTCACATCCTCCATCGTCCTCCTGAACTTTTTGTTGATGCATATATAGTCGACTTCGTTCTGTGTAGTGTGATCCGGTGAAGTCCATGTGGTTTTGTGTATACGTTTATGTGGGAATATAGTGTCATCTCTGACCAATTTAATGAAGGCACATAGGTTTGTAAATCTCTCACCATTTCTGTTTCTTTCTCCTAGTCCACGTCATCCCATGACATCTTCATATCCGGTGTTGTCCATTCCAGCCTTGGCATTTAGGTCTCCCATCAGAATGGTCAGGTCCTTTGTTGGGCACTTCTCGACGATTGACTGCAGCCTATTGTAGAATTGATCTTTAGCGTCTTCATTGTAGTCGTTGGTAGGTGCATAGCATTGGATGATGTTCATTGAAATGCCCTCTTTCTTTGTTTTGAAGGAGGCGTTGATGATCCTTGGTCCATGAGATTCCCATCCTATAAGTGCATGTTGTGCTTGTTTGGACAGCATCAATGCAACTCCTTGTGTATGTGGAGCATTTTCTTCTCCATGGCTGAAGTATAACAGGAGCTCTCCTGAAGTTAGTCGTTGTTGTCCAACTTGCGTCCAATGTGTTTCACTGATCCCAAGTACCTCTAGGTTGTATCTTCTCATTTCTGCAGCAATTTGGAAGGCTCTCTCGGTGTCCCACATTGTACGAACATTCCATGTACCTAAATAAATGATTGCTCTGGTTTTCAGAAGGGGCATCGGCCTCGTAAATTCAAAAGGAATTCGGCTTTCATCATGAGGCATCATAGTCCTTCTAAATGAAGACCTTCTGACTCCCAGGGCAGAGTTTAAAATGTTTGAATAGTTTTTTCTGGTTAGCGTTTTTTTTGGCGAGTTAGTTTCTACGGGATAGGGACGCTAACCCCATGCCCAACCCTCCTCCTTTATCCGGGCTTGGGACCGGTAGTAGCCCTCGAAGGGAATCCAGGCGGAGTTCTCACGAGATTCAAACTCAGGACCATTATAATTCGTTTAAAAGTTTCCTAATGCTTCGACGCTTAGGAATCTAAAAGATAGTTCTCTATTATGAGTAGAATGATTACACACCACGACAATTTCTAAAAATCTCGGGTGAATGACTATCAGGAAACTGATGTTATGTTCAAGCCTAAAAATAGTAATTTAGGAAGTAATATAAATTAAAATTCTAGTGATTGTTGAAAATATTACCGATTATTTGTATTTTATCTTAACATCAAATATGTACGTTTTCAATGCATTTGGCACTGTATAGTTCAGATATGAGCCATGATAAAGTCAAGTTAAAATCAACTTTATTACTTATAGATTACAACCACAATCTCTTCTCCCCACATAATTATACCCTGTTAAAATGTTATATGAGACTTCATCTTGTAGGTTGAATAACACAAGATACTAGGGACCGTCAATATTTACCCTAAAAACAATAATTGAAGAAATAGTTCATTTATTTCAAGTGGCTTTCATATGTTTACAACTGCTACAACAATATTATATCCTGTAAAGTTGATAATCATTATGCTGACCACATTTATTATGTATGTGAAATATACATACAGTTGTGCCTAAATTCTAACTCTTAAATTCAGAGTCATTTAGCACTAAATTCTAAGTATAACATAAGAATAGGCTACAATTATCAATCCGCTTACAGGAGTAGCTCCTCATCCTAGAATTGGAGCTTGTTTTTTTTTGTGTGCGATTAAATGTTCTACTGTATCACATGCATTGTCATACTCGAATATTATTTGAGTATTCTGATTTGCCCACTCATCATCATCATGAATGATAAGAAAACATTTTACAAACCAATCAAATTATTAGTTTGTGCTAAACTATAGAGAAATATATCGATCGATCAAATCTATCTAGATGGGCAGATTTATTATAAATTGGGCTGTGGATCAACGAATATAAATCAATCATTGATTCATTTTAAAATTTAACATCAAAACTATTGTTGATTTTTTATAGTATTCAAATCAGTTTAGTTAAATTAATTGCATCATTGTAAACTATTGGAATGTATAATCAAAAGTTATTTTATTGTTATAGTGGAGTGTACATGATCCATTTTATTTTCTATGCTATTTTCATGAGTGTCATTTTAACAACTGGAAATGCAAATGATTCGTTTACTAGTTCTGCATCTGAGTCAACTGATAACCTTAGCGATACAACGTTATCATCCACAACTTTGACACAAACGGATCATTCGGCTATGACATTAAGTACAGAGACTGATGTTGCTTCAGTAGCAAGTACTGATATTGATGTGACTGGCAAAACTAGCACCTCTACTCCAGTGGGATCTGAAGGGACTAGTGACACTTCATCAAGCACTGACAATGCTTCATCTGAGTCCTCTGATACAGAGTTGAATGTTACACGACAAAGTAACAAATCTGTGATTGCCAGTGTGGTTGGAGAGGAGTCTTTGGACGTAAGAACAACGGAGTCAGAGTCCTCGGTGAGTCTAATGACTACTCTTCAAGAAAGTGAGACAAGTACCACGGAAATTGTGTCTTCGAGCATGGAAAGTGGACAGGAAAAATACCGAACTACACTTACTACAACAGGTTAGAAGCTCTTGTAGTGTTGTATTATGCATGGTTTTTTTGTTGTGGCTTGTCCCCTATTCATCACGATTTATGACTAGGTGATTTCAATTTTCTTACGATGTCATCATTATTTGGTACACTGATTCCATATCCTACGGCTGAATGGCTAGATTAGATTTTGTATGTCTTGAGGTGACAGTTATGGGTTCATTACTAATTATTAGTGAGTAAATAACTAATATGGTAGTAATCTTTACTATTTTGTCCATAGTATGTATCTTACTGGGAGTTAGTTTTGTGCTCGTTTGGGTTAATATACTCAATCACAACTTTCTGTATCTTAGCAATTCGTATTCAAACTGGTCATAGTAATCCAAGGTGATCGCTGAAAAATAATTCTCGTCAAGCTGATGTTTTTATTTATTCGAAACTATGACTAGAAGCGTAGATAAGTTATAGCTTCTGAGGTAAGACATTTTAATTTCGCTGAAATGGTTAGTTGATATCTTAAACCAATGGTAATTAATGTCCCTAGATATTTTTGGAGTACTAGGTGTGATAGTATTATGGTTAACTTATGATATTCTTACTATCTTAGGGTTTTCATACATGCAGGTTGTCTGCCATTTATGTCTATTTTATCGTGGGCTTTGTGGACAGAGGATTTCTCTACGCCATGGATGCCAAAATATCCTGTGTGCAAGTGTCTACCGCTGTATTTAACCTAGAAACGAAGCCAGTATTGTTATTTTCGTAATTTGACATTTCCTCGGTATCCATATTGACTTCAAAATTTTTCCTCTAATAGACTGCTCCTTGAGTTTATTTTAAAACCATGAACATACTCGGTACTTTCTTGCTACATTTTTTCCTGATCCGTCAAGTTCAAAATGTGGAGATGAATAATTAAATGTTGGGGATCTTCATGAGTTGTAAAGTTAAGTCAGTCTGTTTTATGAAATATTGATTTATAGTCTTCATGGATTTTTAGAATGATGCTTAAAAATGTGCTTAGAATTACTAAACATTTCTCATAAAAAAGTAGATTAGAATCTTCTACTTTGTGTAAACTTGAGATTAATTGCTCATCTACTTCTTTGTGAAGTCTTGAAGGAAAATTCTAGATGACATTAACAACATTTTTGGTTATAAAATGTGTATAACTGGTAAGTTCCATCAGTAATGGGACCTATTTAGAATGCCTTGAAACATTTGAATTTAGTAGCGATCATTATTTAATGTTGTATAAAAACCAACTGAATTATCAAAGTTTCGGTGCTTTTAAATATATACGTTCATACAATGTGTGAGAATTGATAGTCTGGATTTCATTAAATAGTTCATATTGATACTTCTTGATGTTACTGATTTTTTTGAAATATTCACAAAAACTGTAGTGTAGTGGTGAAAGTTTCCACGCGATTATGCTGGGATTTTAAATAAAACAGCAAGGTGTTTAACTTAATGGGAATTGATAGTTTTTATGGGGCTGTATCAATTCTTTTAGATTACGTTATTTTAGTTCACTTCTATTCTGATCACTTTTATGGCAGCATGATCCTTCCAGTTTGGTCCTTTTAGTTACTGATTATGGGTTATTACTTAGATTGTAATTTCTTAACTAGTTCCTCTTGTTATTTGCATAAGGTATGATCAGATAGGTTTGAGTAAAATTCATAGAAGTTAACATGGAGACAATAGTAAGTTGTCTTCGACTAAAAAATCACCTCAGCTAAACTGTACACAATACATTCATCTGAAGTATTATTAGGGTTATTTTGTGGTTTCATTTATTGCTTGTGAATTCATTGACTTATAGTTCCACTTGTACATAGAATTGTTTTTGAAACTTCCAACGGAACTAAACCCATTTTGAAGTCGTATGGTTCAAGTTTAACATTACTAATTCTAACAGTTCCTCCTTCGTTCAAATTTTGAATTAATGACTACCTATTAATTAACAGCAGGCATGCAATGAAATCAATTTAAATGGAAGTTGAAAACAATCTATGATGCACTACTTTACTAACTTAAATGTAATTACATAGATAACTACTATTAAAATGAAATAATAAATCGACTTCATTTATTTGAAATGATATCATAGAGGTGATTTCTGTTTAAACATTTCGTTTACAGTGAACTGTACTTAAAGCATACTACATTTGATTATGTAATTAGTTAGTTAATGGATCATTTTTATTTTATTTTATTTTTAGGTAATCCTAAGATAGTTACAAGTACGCCTGGAATAATGAATGGTGTATCATCATTGAAAGTTGCTTACATTTTACAGTTGTTTATTCTATTGACATTACATATAGTTTATTGATAGTAATGGAATGGTGGACTATTTGATTAGCATTTAAAATAATTCGTACGTATCCTAGTTTCTGTATAACAAAGAATTTGTCAAATTATAAAACACATGCAATTACTATTATTATTATTATTATTACCATTATTGTTATTATTATTATTATTACTCACTTCATATTCTGTTCAATCTACAACATTGAAAGAAAAAAAAACATTTTCGTTTTGTTTTGTTCTTTTTCTCGTTCAAACAGTTTTTTTTTAAAGATTGTTGCATATTATAATAGTTAATAATTGTGAATTCAAATATTTTCCCCCTATTGTTTGTTTATCATATAGTTCCGTTAATTTACTAAACTTATTTATTTTACACAAAAAAAAGTGTATGGATATATGTTTGGTCCTGTCATTATTAAACAATTATATATTTCATTATTATTATTAAAACAATTGTGATTTCTTTAAATATTATGGTGTTGTGAAGTGTTTTAGTCGTATTGATGTTCTTATGTATCAGTTTTCCCTCATCAAGTCCGTAGGCCAAGATTCAGAGAGCTTCATACTGACGGAGGTAGTCAGGAACATTTATAATCTGGATTTCGTGCTAGAATAGATTTAACGGAGATGGTGGAGATTTGTAGTTCAGGTGGATGATTTTGGTGGAGTTTTGTTCGCTAAGCTGAATAATTTGGTCGTGGAGCTTCAGGTAGAAGTGAAGTTTGTTCTGATGATGTCGTTCAGAAGAACGATGAAAGCTCCACGACCAAACTGTTCAGCTTAGAGAACAAAACTCCACCAAAATAGATTCCACTAAATGGTGAAATAGTAGACAATCAATTTACTAGTAAAAATATAATCTAATTTAATACACCTGTTTAATCCAAGTGTTGAATACTTACGTTTGTTACAGTGCCGTTTCTTATGAAGATAGTCCTTGGTGGATATTCTGTGTAGAAGTGGTAGATTTATATTTTTCGCCAGTTGGGTGTCAGGAGACGTTCAGTTTTGATTTAATACCAATTTAATTCCATTGTTGATATTTCTCATCGATAAACTGTATAAATTAATGGATTGATTTACTTAAAAACAAAAAAACACTAAATTCCTCTTGATTCGTTTCCATATAATTAGCATCAGACATAACTCGTCATTGTGATAAGCTCTTTGTTTTAGTAACCATGTTTCTAACCCTAGTCAATATTCTTTGCCAGTGCATAAATGGATTTCGATAATGTTTATCATACTTAGGAGTTGATCACTGAATAGTCGTCGATGCTGTTCTTCAGTATAGTGGATTGTAACCACTAAGTTAAGTGACACATCGTAGCATACATTGTTTGAATGTTAGATGTGTGGAGTTGGTTGACAGATTTTGTGACTCATACCTTTGTTAGCTTGTTAACGAGACTGAATTTCGCTAATAACTTAGTCAGATATTATCCGGCTATGTTTCAGGATACTAATTGACGTGGGTTTAAACGGCATTGTAATTTCCCTTAATAATATTAATATACTTATCTAATGAAGGGCAGCAAAGAAGTGGTTTAGGGCTTTTAGTCAAATGGCTTTGAGGATCGGGAATCATTAGTTACCAACATCGACATCCAGTTCTTTAAAAAAAATCATCATTACCCTTTTTACATTAGCTGTAGTATAGCTAAATCAAGTCAGTAAGTCAAGGGTAACTTCTAATCATAAATTTAAAGATTATGGCATATGTCTCTGTGACAGCTTTACCATGTGGTACTCCTAAATGGTGACGAAACAGAATGTAATAACCTCTTAAAGCTCGTGATTAAGTATTTCTCTTAGTCGGTATCAACTACCTGGAAACATTTAGTATGTCGACTTGGTATCGTTTGGCTTGTATCTTCCCATTGAGGTTCAAGACTGCAATTGATCAGTCTGTTATTGGCATACACACAGTATGGACATATGCCAATAACATTGATCAATTGCAGTCTTCAACCTCAATGGGAAGAAGATTCAAGCCAAACAATGCCAAGTGAATTTAAATTCACCCCGTTGCACATAGAAGTGGCTATCAGGATTTAGTAGCTCAGTGGATAACATGATGGCGTTCAATGCGAATGATACTGGGTTCCAGTCCCAGAGTGAACATCAACTCTGAGATGCAGGTACGTCCACCTGACGAGTCCCGAATAGGACGAAACGCGCGTCCCGGATTCCACTGCTAGCCACTATCCATCATTGCTTACAAAAAATTTAGTAGGTCGGTTTTATCATTGTTTTAATCAAATATCAGATGGTTGTGTAAGATATAGCAGTGAATATTAGGTAAATTTCTTTCTTCATTAAAATGCTGTTCATTCACGTTAAAGACCCTGGAAACTAGTGAGTATTGAGTAGGTAATTAGTCCTAAGTTCTGGATTATTTTACTATGCTTGCCATAATAATGTTTGTTATATTTAGTAATGCTGTAGGTTATATCAGTCAGTTGGCGGTAAGACAGTTTGCAACATACATAACCTTTCTAAAAAAAATACACTCGTTTGGCTAGATGGTATTATTCCCTCTACTACATAGGTTTTTGTGGGATATGAAATATATGTTATCATAGCCAATTAAGTTTATTTATTCATCACTTCGAATAATTTACATTTAGTAATATGAAAAATATTCAATAACTACTGTGCTTTAATGCATTAACATCATTACGAATGGTGAAATATTGATACAATAGAATTTGCGTTAATAAAAATCTAATCTGATTTCCTGTAATCACCTGTTTAAACAGTTTGATAATGACCTGATTTAAATAAAAATAATTGACTTGATCAATTTCAGTCAGAAAGGTTGTGTACATTAAATTATTAATGTATTCATCCATCCAAATTTTCGTATATTCTAAGGACCTGTAAGGCATATTTTTGAAAGTGCTACTTACCGGGTCTTTTTTAACACTTCTTCCTCTATTGAATTCCCATTTTTTGACAACCGTTTCGTCTACATCTACGATACTCCCGACTCCAAACGACTGATGTTAGCTTTTCATTTTTGTTGCACATATATCTCGGCAATACGCATACGTCGTGTGTGCTAATTATATCGACATAAGTAGTGTATAACGCTAGTCGGGAATAGAATGTCTGTCAACAAAAGTCAAGAAGATCGGGTAGGAAAGAACAGGAACAGAAAACGGTAGGTATGGAAATGCAGGAACAGTGAAGTTTTAGATGAATGATTGATGTTTACAAAAGGAACAATCAAGTTTGAGACAACTGATTGACATTTTGCAAATTAGGTATTTACTGTATGGTCCAGATGGATTGACCCCAGAGGTCTTTAAGGATGGTCGTTGTTGCTACCTTGCGTGGTGGTCGGGCTTGCCTATCGTGATGAAGCAACCGAGCTATACTGGCTGGAACAACCGTTCCTCAAGGTCCTACCATGTCAGACAGGTCGGTTGAAGAGCGGTAAGACTAAAAGCAACAAACCCAAGGTCCGAAGGCGAAGTCGTACTGCTGACTGTACAGAGGTGTGACAGCAGTAAGGTGTTTCCTTCAGACAACCAGCATGACAGCGATGCTGCCTTCCCACAAGGAGGGGTGGGGTTAGAAAAGGTCGACCCTAAAAATGCACACCTCGCCTTATCCCACGGATATCCGTCTCCGGCGGTAAGGTCTCAATAAGTACGGAGCTAACACAAAAATTACCCATAACAAGGTCGTGTGTGACCGACCTCAAGCAGTTGTCCCTTGGGCACTGCGGTCACGCTCTCAGGTCACTAAGACCACCTCTAATCCAATTTCCTTTTCAGGTACCTCCAGAACAACCCTTCCACGGTGTGGGCAGCCGGGAAGTGATAACCGCCCTCACACTTCTAACAGCACTCAAGACCACTGTATTCATAATCAACCTCCCTCTTCAATTCCTATTATTCCTCCTACATCGACTTTCAACTCTAAATTTCCCCTCTCAGCTTCCACCTCAAGTGTCACCATAGCCAACGATTCTAGTGCGCAAAATACTGTCCCAGGTCTACTGAAACCTCGCTCCAAACTACACATTGGAGCCTTCAACGTACGAACCCTATGTCAAATCGGTCAGCAGGCTTCCTTGGCTAAAACCCTAGAGTCTCTTACCATTGACGTGTGTTGTGTCTCCGAAACACGCATACAGGACTCCAGTGTGGTATTCACTTGACCTCACCTCGGCAAACGGAGAGCCAACGAGATACACCCTTCGTGTATCTGGTGACCCGATGGCAAGTTCTCGTGGACTGGCAGGTGTAGGCATAGCACTAAGCATGAGGGCCGAACAAGCACTGCTAGAGTGGATCCCCGTCAACAGTCGTCTATGTGCTGTTCGGCTGAACGGCTACGTAAGAACTCGGAAGGATAGGGACACACGTCGTTGCCTTTTTGTCGTTTCTGCCTACGCTCCCACTGACTGCAGCTCAGATGAATTTTACAGAAAGCTGTCCGAACTTCTTCAGAAAGCTAAACGCTCAGACATAGTACTCGTAGCAGGTGATTTTAATGCTCAGATAGGCAGTTTAAACCAAACAGAAAGGCATTTAGGTGGTATTTTAGTATTCCGACACAGCGAACAGATAACGGTGATCTGCGCGGCAGTTCGTTCTGTTTTAATTTACGGCAGCGAAACATGGCCCTTAAGAGTAGAAGACACCCGTAAGCTACTAGTATTTGACCACAGATGCCTTAGAAATATTGCTGGCATCTGCTGGGATCACCGGGTAAGTAATAGTGAGGTTAGACGCAGGGTATTAGGGAATGATGGTAAATCAGTTGATGAGGTTATGAATCTTCATCGACTGAGATGGTTGGGCCACATGTTACGTATGCCTGAACACCGATTACCACGACGTGCAATGCTAGCCGGTGTAGGGGATGGTTGGAAGAAAGTTAGGGGCGGCCAAACCAAAACGTGGCATCAGTGCCTGAAGTCACTAACTTGTAGTCTGAGCCATGTTGGTAGATGCAGACTACTTGGTTGGGGTCCGCGTGACTTTCGTAACCAATGGTTGGAGACTCTTGTGACATGGCTCAGAATCGATTACAATGGCGTCGGTGTATACACTCCCTGTCTTCCCTTAAACTAAGAGATTAAAATCACTTCATATCTTTCTTTCTACGAACTAATTCTTTCTTCCTATACTATATCCTTATTGCAATCCTCCTATATATTACCACCTCTGAATTAACTACTTTTATGAATCCGGTGTTCATCTTGCTGTGCTAATGAGGTATGGCAACCTGGACCGATGCACATATGTGCCTGGTCCTACGTTGTAGCTGACTGACTGACTGACCGTAATTTTGCGTTCAAATACGTTCGATTGTTTCCACTTGTTTTCTCGTTCACTGCAGTACTACTGAATTGCCATAGCTTCAGTAGCATCTACAAGGGTTGCAGCCAGTGTTACTGGTGCTTTTATTATCCAGCTTGCAAAAATTATTATAGTTAGTCTTAGTCTCGATCGGGATCGAGCTC